CCTGGGGGCGCTCACAGGCGAAGCCCCTGGCTCAAGGCTGCATTCCACCTCCCCGGGCTGGCAGGCATCAGCCGGGTCTGCCGGCTAAGCGGGTGGATTGGAAAGGTCCCTCCACCGAAGGTGGGTTTCGGGAGTCAGGAGTCGGGTCGAGTCTTGGTTGTGGGCTCTCCGTGGAAAACAAACTTAGAGCTTTCTTGCTAAGTTGAAAACCAAACACCTCTCTCCTTCAGTTGCTGCCTCTCTGGCATGTTGGCAAAATTTGCTGCACAGTCAGGTCAACTGGAGAGGGCAAGGTTATGGTCGTCAGCAGTTCTGTGTCCTACTATTGTTTTTCAGAAAATTTGTGTTGTCTTCTGTGTGCTCACTGCCATGTTCCTTTTGCCTCCCAGGTATTTACAATATGGACTAAAAAGCACAGAAAGTCTAGTAGAGGTATCTGTTTGGCCTGTGGTTCTAACAACAACAACAACAACAAACCAAAAACAAACAAACAAACAAAAAGTCAACAAGAATTAAGTTTTGATTAGTAGTTTCTGATTTAAACTTAAAAATTTAACGGCAAAATGGAATGGCAAAAAGTCCCCCCCCCCCCCCAACCCCCTACTCTGGTCTGAGAGATTCTTAAACAGATTTCCTGAGTGGATTTTAGGGGTTTGGAAGGCCTTAAACTTATGTGCAAAATTCTGTGGGTATGTGTATTTTCTGGGATAAGTCCCTTAGCTTTCATCATATTCTCAAATGGAGTTAAGACTCAAGATTAAAAGCAACACCACTTTCAGGAGAACTTATTGTATAGGTCAGACTCCTAGCTTCTACTTGGAGTTGAATTGTAGTGCAAACTCCTATTTATCCAGTGTTTATGAATGTTGTATTTTTATAAGTCTACATGTATAACCAAATTTCAAGTTACAAAAAGTACCATAAAAAGTCACATGAAACGTCATTTTCCTCTGAAGATTCAGATGGCACATTAGAAACTTGTATGTCTCAAGTGCAAGGGCATCAACTGCTTTTGGACTCCAGGGCGTTTCCTCACTTTTGATTGCCTACCATATTCCTATAGAGCTGCAGCCATGGGTGAGAATCAAGTTAGGAAACCTGTATCAGAGATCCCATGGTTTCTGGACCAGGAAGAGAAAACTGTTGCCCAGAATACTCAATAACTAGGGCACAGCTGAAGGGAGAGAGCTTACTGGAAGTTGTTTTCTTAACCCCAAATATCTTAATCCACAATAGGATTTTTTTTATTGTTTTTAATTTCACTTTGTTAAACTGCCTGAAATTTTGCTGAGATCCAAATGAATAAAGCAAATACGAGTGTGATCATTTTCTCTTTAGTATAAATTCTTCAAATAAGATTCCATTCGAGGAAAGGGGATAGATATTTCCAAGAAAAATTGAGACAAGCATGTATTATTTTGGGTATTTAAAAAAGCTTTGTTAGGGTAGGCTGCAGTTCTGCATCCCAGTTTTTACTACATTCCATTCGAGGAAAGGGGATAGATATTTCCAAGAAAAATTGAGACAAGCATGTATTATTTGGGGTATTTAAAAAAGCTTTGTTAGGGTAGGCTGCAGTTCTGCATCCCAGTTTTTACTATTTTGTTTCACTGGATACCTGGAGGGATTTACAGGAGGATATCAAAAACTCTATATGGTGATTTTAGAGATATCCACAAATTCTGTGATACTCTAGCCATCAAGAGGTAGAGCTTAATTCCCTTGCTATTGAGTGTGGGCTGCACTTAATGAATAGCATATGACCTTTAATGAATAGCATATGGCAGAAGTGACTGTGACTTATGAGACTAGGTCATAAAAGGCACTGCAGCTGCCTCCTTATTCTCACTCTTGGATCACTTGTACTGGGGGGAGCCAGCTACTGTGACATGTGAGACTCAAGCAGCCACGTGGAAAGGCCCATATGATGAACTGAGGCCTCCTGCCAATAGCCATGTGAGTGAACCATATTGGAAGTGGACCATTCAGACCCAGCTAAGCCTTCAGATGACTACAGCCTGGCCTATGTTGACTGAAGCCTCATGAGAGATCCTGGGCCAGAACTGCCCAGCTAAGCCACTCTCAGATGACCCACAGAGACTACATAAGATAATAAATGTTTATTGTTTTAAGATGGTAAGTTTTGGGGTAATTTGTTACACAGCAAGAGATAACTAATATACTATATCAGTTTTCCTCTATACCAGGAAAGACACTTTTTTTTATTCTTTAATCATTTGGGCTCTTGTTCCTAGACCTGCCCTTGGACTAGTGGCATGATTTCTATCACTGAGCTTTAATATGGATTAAATAGACTTCTGTCAATAGGCTTGGAACATAACTACCATTTGCAGTCTTATTTGTATGTGTTCAGAGTTTATAACAACAGACAAATGAACTTCTGAAACATGACCTGCTTATAATCTCAGTACTGCCTGCAATTCTGCTAGCTATTGCTCAGTATGCCATTCTTTATAACAGACTTCATACTTCTTTCCAGTCTGAAGAACTTTTTTGCATGGCAGATGGAAAAGGTTGCCAATCATTTAGCCTTTATCTCTACCAGGTAACCCATAATATATAGATTATTTAGGTAATAGCAGAGGGCTGTCAGTTCAATTGCAAGACACATACCCAGGGGCATTTAACTGGGATTAACACAAAATATCCAACATCAAAACCTAAAGATTTACTTTATGTTTGCTTATATGCCAGGCATTATGTAGCAGACCTGACATATGAAGAAGGTAGTGCTTAAAAGCCTTGGAGTCAGGCTACTGGTATTTGAATCCTGGCTTCACCATTTATAATCATATGGACCCTGGCAAACTATTTAACCTCTTTGTGGCTTGAATTTTCTTATCTACAAAATGGGGATGATAGTAGTACCCACTTCACAGGGCTCTGGTAAGGATTAAATAAGATAATGCATGTAAAACTTGGCACACAGTTTCTAGCACATAGGAAGTGCTCAGTTATTGCCAGCTATTTTATTTTTTTAAATGTAGATGAAGACATGGAGACTCAGGGAGGTTCCGTATCTTGGCTAGGGTCATGCAGCCAACAAACAGCAGGAACTCAATTCCAGATCAGAGTGGTTTCAGAGCTCAAGCTCTTAACCATTGCTTTATACTGTCTCCCTCAGTTTCTTTCTGTACACAAATGATATGATCTGCAGAAATGCATCAAGACTCCTTGAAGCACACTAGGAGAGATCCCTGTTTCATATACCAAGGATTTGTCAGCACCTTGAGACCTCAGCATCATCCTGTGAAATCCCCCATAGAAATGACCAAAAACAAAAGTGGAAAAGTTTCTAAAAATTGAAATATGGGAAAAGGTGCCACTTAGTTGATAAATTCAAATGCAGCATATTCTCCCTCCTGAGAACACCTTTCTCCTTTGGAGTTGTGGCTGTAGGAGGTTTCCAAAGGATGTTTTGGAATGTGTCCTTTTATCCTTTTCAGGAGGGATGAAAGTTGTTGAATGCATACAAACAATGGTTAGTGATGTGATATACAACATGATGAGTGTAATAGTTTCTTCTGTCTACGGGTTACTCTGTTAACAGAGTGGCTGGAGTTTCAATTTAACCTCTCCTACAAGGGAGGAGACGAGACGGACCCAAAATAGATAAGAGAACTGCAGAAGGATGGGAACAGTCCCTTCTTAGGCAGGAGATAAAAGAGAGGGTCTCTGGCACAAGAGCCCATCTACCCTGGCAAGAAACCAACCTGTAAGCCAAAACCTACACTCAACCTCATTGTTTTCATACCTGAGTTTTTGTTTCTCTTAGTTTTTAAAAGTACTACAAATGGTTTTATGGGTTTCTCTAACCATGTCTGATGGAAATTAGAGGGAATAGGAGGTCCCAGATTGGATGGGGGTTTAGGGAGTAAGCTCTGGGAGTATGGACGTGGCTGGGCTGGGGCAGCTTGAATATGAGGATAGAAGGCAGACTTTGGGAGTGCTTCAGGAGTGCTTCATCATAGGCAAGAGTGCCACATCTAATTTTGTCATCTGTTTGCTGTGACCCCTAGCAGTGTAATATTGCTGAGTTCTTGTCTATAAAAAATGGAAAACAATATTTGTCATACCTGTTTCA